ATTTAGGAATAGAATCACGTTGGTGTTTGAATCGCGATCTTTAACGATCTATTAAATTAAAGTGCTTTGTCATGTTGGTGATGACACCTCTCTTGCAACATGTTCAGCTATCACAGATATTATACTTAGCTTTTTGGCTTCTGATCGCAAATGTAGCCAAATTTTGAAGCGCTTAGGTTAGCGAGCAAGGTCCTGGCAGATCGCTAGGTCTGGTCCTCACAGATGAAGAAAAAAAAAGCGCATAGGAATCGATAGGTGGAATCGAAATTTGAATTTGACAACAAGTATCCGATTCCTGACCGTAAGTATCTGATTCTGGAATCGGAATCGATTACCAACCCTAATTAATACTAATAAATTGGAGACGTCGGCCTTACCCGACTTTATCAAACTGGTAGCGGTTGGTAGGGTTGGGTGTCTCTTGGCCGTGATCAGACGCGTAAAGACAGTTCAGCAGACTCTCTGAGTTCAGCAGCTCTCTGTGACAGACACGTAAATGGTGTTAGAAAACAAACAACTGTGTTGACTGTGTAAGTTGAAGTAGGTTTGATTTTGGTGCTGCTGTACTGACCCAGCACTGACTGCTCCAGACAGATCTGTAGTGGTGGAAACTTTGGTCTTCACAGTCAGAATGTTGAGATTCAGGAGATAATAGAAAAACAGATGCAGGACGCTGCCGTCTGGAGAGAGATAATACAATTAGTACTGTTAAAAATGACTAACTACAGTAAAACTTAGGAAAAAAATAGCTAATTAAACAGCAAATCAGCATATTAGACTGATTTCTGAAGGATCATGTGACACTGAAGACAGGAGTAATGATGCTGAAAATTCAGCTTTGCATCATAGGAATAAATTACATTTTAAAATATATTCAAATTAGTGCTGTCAAACGATTAATCGCATCCAAAATAAGTTTTTGTTTATATATGTGTGTGTACTGTGTGTATTTATTATGTATATATAAATACACACACATGCATGTATATATTTAAGAAAAATATGTTATGTTTGTATACTAAATATATTTATATATAATATACATATACATATCATTTCATGTAAATATTTTCAAAATATATAGTGTATGTGTGTGTATTTATATATACATAAATATACAGAGTACACATACATGTATTATGTCAACAAAAACTTTTATTTTGGATACGATTAATCGTTTGACAGCACTTATTCAAACAGAAAACAGCTATTTTTTCACACACCTTTACACTTTAGGTCCACGCAGAGCGAGAGAGGGTGGCGTCTCAGCATTTCTTTACGCTTGTCATCCAGTTGAACGCCTACAGTCGCTCGCCGGCGCTTCTGAACAGAGAGAGATTGAAAATGAGTACATTAGCACACAAACTACAAGATAATGAACTGGAGAAGAAGATAAAAGTCGAGTCGGACCGTGTTCTGCTGCTCTTCTTCAGCGTCTGAATCACTTTCATCATCTGAAACAAAAACACATGAAATATAAGACCCCACTGATCTCTCACACACACACACACACACACACACCTCCAACTCTTAAAGCAGACACACAGAGGTACCTTGCGAGTCCTCCGGCGGTCTGGAGAGAGCTTTGGCCTCATCCACGTCTCCGCTGATGCTCGCAGACAGGGTTTTGTCTGAAACGCATAATTGCGTGATCTCATAAAACAGGATTCATCAGAAACGCAAGGTCTTACAGGCGCCGCTGAGAGTGAAGAAGCGAGTCTTACCGCAAGCCTGTCCGTACGCAGCCGCCTGGACCAACAGCACGTACAGAGGGGGCGGCAGGTGACGGGCGACCTCTGCCTGCTTCTGCATTTGCTCGAACGGCATCGACAGACACTCCTGCACTGGGAGAGACGCCTATGAGAAAGAGAGAGAAAAATACATCAGTCAGTCTCTTCCTGTCCAACTGGGCTGTGAAATGTGACTCACACTACAGGTCAAAAGATTGTAATAATTAAGATTCTTATGTTTATGAAATAAGTACTTTCTGCTCACCAAGGCTGCATTATTATTATTTTTAATACAGTAAAAACAGTAATATTGTGAAATTTTATTTCAAATTAAAATAATTGTTTTTTATTAGGAATATATATTATAATGTAATTTACTCCTGAAATCAAGTGTCACATGATCCTTCAGAAATCATTTTAATATGTTGATTTGCTGCTCAAGAAACATTTCTGATAATAAACAATGTTGAAAATGGTTTTGGATGCTCAATATTTTTTCTAAACTGTGATACATTTTTTCAGGATTCATCAATAAATAGAAAGTTCAAAAGAGCAGTATTTACTAAAAAGATTCTGTAACGTTATAAATGTCTTTACTGTCACTTTTGATCAATTTAATGCATCCTTGCTGAATAAAAATATTATTATATATTTTCTTAATGTTACATACAAACTTTTAATTGGCAGTGTATCACGGCTTCCACAAACATATTATGCAGCACAACTATTTTCAAAATGAATAAGATATTTCTTGAGCAGCAAATCAGCATATCAGAATGATTTCTGTAGGATCAGGTGACACTGAAGACTGGAGTAATGATGCTGAAAATTCAGCTTTGATCACAGGAATAAATTTTATTTTATTATATATGTAAATAGAAAACAGTTATTTTAAACAGCAATAATATTTAAAAATATTACTGTTTTTACAGTATTTTTATTCAAATAAATGCAGCCTTGGTGAGCATTAGAGACTTTCAAAAACATTTAAAAAAATCTTAAACATTCCAAACTTTTTACTGGTATTGTATATACGTATATGACAAACTAGGGTTTCACCTGCATGATGCTTTGCAGTCCAGGTTGAAGGCTGCTGAGATATTCTCTCTTCTGCTCAATGGCTTTATGGATCTTCTCCTTTCTAGCCAGAGACATCTTATACTGCTCCGCCAACCTGCAGTCATGGGACAACAACATCTTATCAATTGGTCAGGATTTAGAGCTATTAAAGGTTTATGGAGGGTCGGGTGTTACCTCTTCCTCTGCTCCAGTTCCCAGTCCAGGCGGGCGAGCGTGAGCTGGTGGTGGTCATCACGAGTGACGTGAGGCCGTGAAATCTCGGCCGGAGCCTCCTGAAAAAACTCCTCTTCACTGACCAACTCGATCTCCTCATGCTGAGACCTGAAACAAAGAACAATAATAATGCAATAGTATTCTAGCAGATTAAATATCTTAAAGATTTTTATTTTTTTTATTCCAATAAATGATTGAATGCATTAGTTAATAAATAATTGCATACTGCCCAAATATTAAACATTATTTAGAGCTGAGACTGACTAGAAAAATATTTATTCACTCTAGAAATGTCCATTTCCATGACATTTCAAGGCTTGGAAATGCACTGTAAAACTCACTTGAACTCGAGACATTTGCTGATCTCTTTCTGCAGGTGCATGACCTCATACAACAGATTCTGCAGCTGCAAATGAAGAACATCCACTCGCTGCTTCGCCTGTGGACAGAGGATTATTGTTTGTTAAAACAATAATTTACCATGCATGTTAAAAATAAATCCGGACACAAATTAAAATAAAGCACTAGGCATTGCATGTATACAAGGCATGGAATACAAATTTGCATATGCAAAATTGTCAAGTGTTGTTATTGTTAACTAGTAAAACTAAAATTGTTTTAATTGTTTTAACTTAATTGTTAACTGAAATAAAGCGGAGATAAAAATCTAATTATTATATGAAAAACTTAAAACAAAGAAAATTAGCAATGATCCCTTGGCAAATAACTTAAATAAGTTGAAGTATTAAAATGACAACAACTAATTGAAATAGCAAAAAATTAAATAAAATAATAATCCATTCAGAACTTGTGTGTTTACCTCATGTGTCTGATCTCTGCCTTTCTTCAGTCGCATGTGCGCCATGCGGTTGAGTTTCTTCAGGGTGATGAAATGAACGCTGCACTGTCTGCGTCTCTCCTCCATCTCTACACTCTAGGATGCATAAAGCAAATCTCAGCTTCATTCATTCATTCACTTCAATTTTTTGACACATGGCAAATGTGAAACTCACTCCGACTTTGGCGCCACCGGATTTCAGCTCCTGTATTTCTGCCATCAGTTTGGCCAGAGCGGCACACGTGTCCTTATACAGCATGTAGTCCTGCTGCGGGTCCCTGCCCTCCAACTCCACCTCCTCATTATACACAAGGACATCCTGAGGAACACACACACTGAGTGACCAGGCAACACACACACACACAGCCCTGCCTAACAGCTGTGAGCTAACAACCCAATAACAATACTTTCTTATGGGATGAGACTACAAAACTGTGCGATGTGACCCTCCTCACCCTAACGTGCAACAGAAAACGTGTCAACAGCTGAGCAGGAAGTCCAAAATTGTATTTATTTATGATTTAATGGGATCCAAAATGATTTTAACTGACGTTAAATTACACAGCTCTCTGGAATACTTGATTGTGATCACAGCAAAAAAAATTATAACAATAATAATTATTATTATTACATTTTATATAAATGATATTTAAAAACTCGTGTAATAACAACAATTATTATTATTGCCATTATTATTAATTACACTAAACAACATATTGACTTTTGACCATTTTTAATTTAACTATATAAATTTTTGTTATTAATATAAAGCAATATTACATGTTAAAATTATTTATAACAATTCTATTATTATTGTTACTTACTATATCTTATGTAATATATTACATAAATCAACATTAAGGGGAAGTCGTGGCCTAATGGTTAGAGAGTCGGACTTGTAACCCAAAGGTTGCGGGTTCGAGTCTCGTACCGGCAGGGATTGTAGGTGGGGGCCCTTGAGCAAGGCACCGAACCCCCAACTGCTCCCCGGGCGCCACAGCATAAATGGCTGCCCACTGATCCGGGTGTGTGTTCACGGTTTGTGTGTGTTCACTGCTGTGTGTGTGCACTTAGGATGGGACAAATGCAGAGCACTAATTCCGAGTATGGGTCACCATACTTGGCCACATGTCACATCACACTTTTTTTTCACTTTCATTATAAGTCAATATTACACATTTAAAACATAAGTATTTTTGTTAGAATGATGCTAAACTATATAAGTATAACAATAATGACAATTACGCTATAAATCAATAGTGAAAATTATTTATTACAATTAACTTTATTAATTTTTTAACAATTAACTCTTCATATTTTTATATGGTGGCTGAATGTCTAAAACGTGTTATCACATGGAGTTCAGAATAATTTGTATGAGTATTATTCTTTATATCTTTCAAGCAGAATATCCTTTTTATATTCTACATTATCCCTTGCAATTTGTAAGTAAAATGGCTCAATTATGATTTTTATTCATATTGCTTGTGTTCATTTTGGACCCTTCAGCTGTCAGAGAGAGCGAGAGAGAGAGAGCGAGAGAGAGCGAGAGAGAGCGAGAGAGAGCGAGAGAGCGAGAGAGAGAGCGAGAGAGAGAGCGAGAGAGAGAGAGAGGGA